GGAAGGACCATTCAAGTATAACAATATGTGATAACTGGGTACGCATGCTTCTTTCGCAGTTATCAGTTGGGATCGAGCTGAACCCTACCCAGAATCTGGATATAGACCATGGATCGCAGTCTCGGACATGCTCTCGCTGCCACTCTGTGGCTTACTGCAGCCTTGGATGCCAAGAGGAGGATTGGAAGAGGCGACACTACAAGGAATGTGCCACTATGCACATCACGTATCTCAGTACGTCTCGTTTCTAGCGCTTGAGCCCAGCCCTTGTTCAACACATTACTTCTAGGACGGAAGGACTTAGACATTCATTATACATACTCAACGCGTTGGTTCCAGACCCTCTTGAGCACCCACGCGTTTGAGCAAAATGGCGGTGGGGAAGGATTTCAGGAGGTCAGCCTCTTCCGGACCACGAATTTCACCAATTCCTCTTTTTCCATGACACCGCCCGAGAGCCACCCGCTATGGTTCCCCTCGACACCTTCCTTTCAATAGGGTCTTGGGATCGTGACTGCCCCGCCGCTGAGCTCAGACGGATGGAGCTGTTTGAGAGCTTTCGGAGTCAAGAGGAACCAACGACGAGGCTAGTGGAGGGAAGGTACTATCTCGGCGACGGTATCAGGCTCTGTCTGCTACTGGAGGTACAGCCGGTTTTTCATGTGGAAGGTCAAGGCGAAGTCGACGAAGACGAAGACGATGATGATGACGACGATGATGAGGAGGAAGAAGAAGAGAGAGCTGTGGAAATCAAACCCGGTGCATCCCGGATAATTCGAAGTGTTGTTCAAATAGAGTAAGTTGCCTCCTACCTCGGAACCGCTCATTCAGCTAACGGCCAAACGGCAGGTTTGCCCCTTCAATAGTTGTGCGTTGACGTGAGGATTCATCCTAAGGATGAATCCTCACGATTATCCTTTGGCGCCAAGAATCAACGACACTTTCTATCTCATCGGTCGGAAATGTTCATTTTGTCTTAATTATGTATCAGTTTGCTCTCTGTATCACACGCTATCTCATTCTCGTCCCTCATACCCATTCATCCCGCCTCTGTTGTGCATAGGTACGTGCGGCTAAGGCCCTTCAGGCCTCCGCCGCCTTTCATTTCGGCAAACCCCGTCAGACCATGCTCAGGTGATGTTCGCCATTGATTCTGCGATAGCGCTTCAGACAGCAACCTCGCGCGCGATGGCTTCTGCCTCACGCCGGATATCTATTGCATGGGTGAGTGGAACCGTAGCGCAGAATCCAAAAAGCCCGATTACTAACACCATCCCCAGCCTCCAGAGCCGGCGAAAGAACCAACATCCACCATTGTTCTCACAACGCCCAGACGGCGTTTCGTAGATCTACGCGCCACGTTACCCCTCGTCAACCGCGATCTCTACTGGGGGATCTCCGGAGTGTCAACATACGACCCTGAAAGCCGACGAGGCACTTGGAAGCACCTTGTCGATTCGCGCTCCGATGAGCCCCAAGAAGATAGTGGTGTCATGTCCATGCTGGAGAATGGCGATATCTCGGAGAAGGGAGAGATGCTCGATTTCGATGATGGAAAGGTAAAACAGTATGAAGAAATTTGGCGGGATGTGAACGCAGAGCGAGGAGACGTCATTTGGGCCGTCGAGGTGGTCACGGAAGGGTATAAAGGGTCGGCGATACGGATTGGGGGTTTGTGCCAGGCGATCTTGAAAAGAGAAGGGCTAACAAGCTCGGGAAGATGGACCTCGACAGATAGCAGGACATGGACTCTAGCTTTCTCCAGCGGGCCACATCTCTGGGAGACCGACTGGCCTGCTTTGATTCCGGACGGTCAGAATGAACGCGTCGATATAGGGAACCTCGAGTGGGTCGTTGTTGAATATTCTGTACAGGAATAGCCTTCCAAGCCTCATGTACCGCAAATCACGATCCCCTCAAAATGTTGACCTTGGGAGGGTAAGTCGCCACGCTCTCGAGTGACCACTCCTTCGAGTCTTTAGGTCTCAAAAGGAAGCATAGTGGAAGGTGCAGATCATATAGCATAAATCTCATAGATCAGACATTACAAATGGTTAAGCGACAAGCAGCCCTATCAGACCGCGAACATATAGCCGGTAATACCCTCTGGGAGTGCCCCAGAGTCAACCGAAAAGTCCCTTTCAGTTTGACTCATTGTATAAATATGGTCGGTGAGAGACTGTTGGTACACCCTGAACAGCGGGAGGCCTCCGCACTCGGCGTCAGGGTAAATGTATCCCGCAACGCCCTCGCTGACGTATCGAAACACGCTGATGGCCCTATCCCTCTCAACAAGATCGGTGGTGTAGAAGTGGTCAAAGTCACCATCGCTGAACAAGCGGTAGAGGGGGACCGCATGTGGCTGCGCGCTGGGGAAGAGGTATCCTGTCAAGCCTTGATCCAGATATCCGAAGACTCTGATGGCGTTTGAGTGCTCTGTGCTGTTAATGGTGTAAAAGTGATCGCCCCTCGGGTTGTAGGATCGAAAGAGGGGGACTGCATCGGCTTGACTTCCACATGAGAGCTGAACATCATTGGCCTGCGTTGAGGCAAATGTCAGGCAACCATAGATAAGAGCGTCTGACATGACCTACAGGCGTAGTGGCCGCATTGCTCAGAGAGGTAAGCGCAATGGCAACGATGGCAGCGAAGAAATGGAGGGTGAAATGCATGGTGGAATTGGGCTTGAGGGGCAAGAGCTGCTGAGTGTTGAACCCCTCCAAGCGAGCTCTGATATATAGATGCTCCTGGATTCACATCGGTAATGGTGATAGACAGGCGTGAGTTCCAGAAAGCCCAGCACAGTCTTCGAAAGTCGAGATCTAGTGATTGATGTGCATTCAAAGGTATGCCGTACAGCTTGAGCTTCCTGAGACTAAGACTCACAGCGTGAAGTGCCCGCAAGCCATAAAAACAAGCAATTCGAAACAAAACGAAGCCCTTAGGGGAACACAAATCATCCACTCTTGTCCATGGCGTCGGGGAAGGCCAAGTTTCTTCTACCCACTTAAGCTATAATTAGTTGACAGGTTGATCCAATGTCGATCATGCGTCGGCGTCCCACTGATCATCCAATCTCCAGGCAGGCTTCTGCTCTGATAGAATTTGTGCAATTGTCGAGGTATCTGACAGTGGCAGTATCGAGACGATGGTAGCGTGCCCAAAATCAAGGTGTGGCCATGGAGTTTCCGTACGTTGACATTTACCTGGATTCTAACAAGGCTAAATCTTGAGCGAGACAACGCCAGTGTCAATCGGTCTATTTACACAGACTATGCAATAAGGATGATCAAAGGCAAGGATTCAAACCACTTGAGAGCTTCCCGTGAAAATAGGCAAAGCTCAGAATATCAATCATGGACCTTCCCTCGCAAAGGAACCAAGGCCCTAGGCCTAAATGACCGGGAAGATAGAAGTGGCAGCTCGTATCGCGGCCACTGACAGAGAAGCTCTTCTTGAAATCGATATGATGACCTCCTCAAAGCCAAATACGTCTATGGACCAGAGTAGAGGCAAAATTCAAATAGAACCAGGAAGTGCACGAGGGATACTGTTCTTGTGTCCTGAGCGAAGTAGGCGTACAGGTCTAGTTCCGACCTACCGCACGGATTTTCAAAAAACCTGATCCCAGGCAGTTATTATTTGAAAGCATTTTGTAATATACTACAAGCATTTTGGAGAAGAGTGTCATATTCAGATAATTTTCAAGGATGTATATACATTCAGCTAAAGTCCACATATAGCAAAACTTGCAGAAGGGGTATTGCAAGTGGTCAAATGAAGAGGCGTACTACTAACCAGTAACGCCCTCCGGGATAGACCCCATATCTACCGCAAAGTCTCGTTCTCCCTGATTAATTGTACGCAGAGGCATCCAACTAAGTCGATTTGCTTGTCAGAAGTGTACATGTCGCAGTGTTTGTGTGGCGGCAGAGATAAAAGTCCGGGGACGAAGGAATTGAAGGGAGAGACTGCGATTTGCATGTTGCGATTGCCTCTGAGTTTCGGAAGCTACTGAGTGCTGCTTGATGTCTTGTGGGTTCGTGGAGACTGTATACTGTATCTCTCGTTCGCGATGGTGGCACACGGCCCATGGCCGCCGGGGCACAGTGGCGCCGTACCCATTAGCTGTATGACAGTAATTCTCGATGAGAATATGCTACTGAAAGTGACTTCGAGGCCTTCGGAGAAGACCTTTCTTCTCCCAACTGTGCTCTATAATCGGGTAGCAAATGGATCTTTGCCATTCGCGGGTCCAGCACTCATTAATCTTTACCCTCCAGGCGCTTCTTTCTTTCATAAGTTTTATTCCATCATCGAGAATCGCGAAAGCAAGTATACCGGCTGAATAGTCATAGCGCCGCCACACCCTCTCCGCTGACATCAAAGTCTAAAGTCTGCACAAAGGCGAGATGACTTGACATCCACATTGACAGGCCATTGGCAGGGTTTTTCTGCGCGAACGCGCCACACAATAAATGAAAAAGCTCAATTGTGCACTGTCTCCCTTGAAGACGGGAAATAGCAGCGCTCTGTAGCTCAGAATTATGCCCATGAACCTTTAACCTTTAAGTTGTGCTGGTGCTCCAGGCCCAATCCCAGGTGGTCGAGAAGATAGTATTGACAGTTGGCATCGGCGACGGACAGAGAATTCGTTGCTTCTTGAACCCACAGCCGTCTTATTAGAGTCCAAGACATCGATAGACCAGGCCGCAGAAAGGCCTTGACCGGAGCCCCGTGAGTACGTGAGGATATCGTTCTTCTGATGCGAGTGGGCCAGGAGTAGAGCTCCCAATCACCACGATAACGCCCATTACCACCTGGCGATGTGAGGGTGAATCAGCTTCAGGCATTGTGGCTTCTGATGGACTTTGTTGGAGTCAGTCTTCCCTTATGCGCAACATGAATGAGAAAATAAGGAAGCATAGAGTGCGCAGGGAGGGATCCAGGGAAGGTTTGCTGAGAACGAAACTGTCGGGATCAACATCCGCGCAAAAAAGCTCTCTGTCTGGGAATCGAACCCAGCTTTCGCGCGATCAGAGATAGATGACAGGCGCGTGTACTAACCGATATACGAACAGAGACATGTATCGATGCTGAATGACTACAGTCATGAACTGAGTAACGTCCAACCAAAGCAGTAAATCGAGTTGCGTCGTGTTGTTCAAATCTTTGACGGAACATACCTATCGCCTTTCTTTCTGAAAGCAAAGGAAACCAGTTCAGATGGCTCATTATTGATGGCGGGCGTTGGCTCGAGTCTAGCCCCTATTATGATTCCAGAACTCGCTCGAAGGATGTTGGTGCAAAAGACATTCTATCAAGACATTGCATAAAGCGAAGCCATTGCGTACACTATGACTATTCCCTCCAGAGGCTAGGACCACAGGCTCAACTTTCTTCGAACCTTCGAACCAGGAACTGATCGGTTGGTCATCAGGAGGACTTAGGGGCCACATTGTGACACTCAAACTGCCCATGAACTTCGATCAGTTCTTGCTTTGTTCTCAGGTCTGATCATGAAGGCGAACTGGCTTTTTCATTTGTTCGAAATGGGCAGGGAAGGTGCGTGACGGAACGGGATAACAAAGATGGTGACGTCGATTGGCCATCGTGTTACGCCTCAGCGGACTTTGTCAGGGTTAATCCCACCCTCATTATTCCATCACCCTCGCACTCTAAGCTCTAGGCAGGTACTTTTCACCCCCCGATGTAAGTCCTTCCATTATATCACAGCGGACACCTCATCACCCTTTTATGACAAGGAATCGACCAGAATCGCCAAACATGGAGATCGTGAACCAGATTTGGCTGGAGCTGAACGACCAAATTTTACAGCAGCTTCCTTCGCCGATGCTTCTGGAGTCCACTTACACTCCAACGGACCAAGATCGTATTCAAGCTACGCTTCTGATAGGGAAGCTTGACAATGCTCTCAACACTATCGAGCAAGAGCTTGAGGCAATTGACGGGCACAACTCTGACGTTCAGACGGCCCTTCTCGTCGTCCATGAGGAGCTAAACTCGGTACTCGACGCCTATTTGGCGATTCTCTCCCCTGCACGCCTTTTACCAGACGAGGTCCTCTCGCTGATTTTAATATACGCTGCTGGGTATCGTACTGGTCAATGGTCCCTCTTTGAGCGCAACGAATCTCTTCGGCTGATCTGCAAGAGATGGAACCTGTTGATTCTCCATGACATCCGCATGTGGAAAGACATCGTGATTGTCAGCTATGTGCCAAAGCCCTACCTCAAGAGAGTTCTATGCCTCTCCTCCCCCGCGCCCCTTACTCTCACACTCGACCTGCAAGACTATGGACTGGGTGATTCCGATCCCATGGAGGTCATTCAAAATCTGTTCGATTCCATTGGGGACCGCGAAATCGACCTCGCAATGCATGACAGCATCGTATGTGCACCTCGAATCATGAATCGGCTTCAAGAAACGGAGGCAAATTTGCGTTCTCTAACGCTCACAGGCCCGCAGCACTACGACCTGGCGAATGCTCGCCCTACCTTTCCATCCTTCAAATCCCTCTCTAGTATACTGGAGCTCAAAATGGTCAGCTCCATAGCTGCCCGATTCCAGTCTCGCTTTACTCCATCAACATTTCCCGGCCTTACCCACTTTGTGGTCAATGGTGATTGCACAGTCTCGTTGGTGATTTCACTCCTCTCGAGTATGCCCATTCTACGCTCCTTCGAGTTCTGCAATACTAGCGAGGAGATCATTTCGCTAAGTGACGCACGAGATATGAAAGACGCTGTTTTTCTCCCTCACCTCGAAGAGCTGAAGGTCGAGCAGATCCCTCGATACATGACAGACTTCTTTCGCCTAATCCAGTGTCCGAGGCTCAGATACCTGAACCTAAGCGCTCGAGGATCACCGATTACCCTCTTCGACCTCGAATTCCGCGAGGCTTTGAATCACTTCTTCGAGAGGTCAGGGTCGGCGACAAGCATTCGCCGCCTTCACCTTGAGCGCTTTCGAGGCGATTCGATACTTTCCATCACCGGCGCCTTACCAGCGGTTGAGCGACTTCACGTTGGCGCAAACACCCACCTCCCCCAGCTCTTTTCGCACCTCACTGTCAGAGCTCCAATCCTACCCAACTTGATTCATCTTGAAATCGTTGAATGCGCCAAATCCAGGCACCAGTTGAAGCACGTTTACTCGCCACAGCTGGCTGAGATGTGCACTTCACGTCTCCCAGATCGCTCTCAGGACCGGACGACTTTCGTTATACGCTCTCTAAATTCGCTTGTCATCAAAGTCACAGTGGGACCATCGGAACTACCTTCGGGGGCTAACCTTCGTCGAGTTTCTGGGCTTCTTGAAGAGGCCTATCGGCGAGGGCATCCAAAGTTCAATATTCATTGCCAATAGTCGTTCAAAGAAAGGTACGTAATGCAACTGGTATACTCGGTCACAAGATATTCACGTTCAAATTAGATGGGGAACATATACCCCGTCACACCTTCCTGTGCCCACCCATAGTTGACCGCATTATCCCTCTCCGCCCAATTCATCGTGTAAAAGTGATCCCTGATGCGACCATTGTACATCCTATACAATGGAAGCCCACCACACTCGGTATCGGGGTAAATGTATCCTGTGATCCCTTCGTCGGTGTACCCCAGCCTAGTGACTGCGTTGTCCCTTTCGGCGGCGTTGGTGGTGTAGAAGTGGTCGAACTGGGATCCACTGAACGTTCGGTATAGGGGTACAGCATGCTGCTGTGTTCCAGAGAATAGATATCCAGCAACGCCTTCGTTGGCGTAGCCCAGGTTCTTGTACGCATTTTCATGCTCAGTTTTGTTGGCGGTGTAGAAGTGGTCACCGCCGGGATGGTAAGCACGATACAGGGGAACCGCGCGCGCTGGATTCCCACAAGCTAGCTCAGCATTTGCCTACATTCGAGTGATCAGTTTCAAGCGACGATTGATACACATGACGGCACATACGACGGTCTCAGCTGCATGAGCTAATGGCGCAGCTACGACGGCCAGTAGGAAGATGATGAACTTAGACGAACGAGCCAGCATATCTGGGGAAGGCAGGGAGACACTGTAGTTGAGGTTCGACAATGCTTATAGTTTTTAAAGCTGCGAAGTCGCCTACCCTTCTGCGGCGTACGTCTGACTACCATCAGATAGAGTCAGCACCAGAGAACTCAGAAGCGGTGGGCATTCCCATTGGGTTAACCCTCTACCAATAGTATCCTTGTGACTGCGAAGATGCCGGGTAGAAGTGAGAGCTAAAGCCTGGGAGTAAGCAGGAGCCGTTTTACATAGGAACTAAGATTCTCTGTCGCGGCTCAGAGTTCTTTTTTATCAATCCTTTCAAGATATCGGCGTTGTGCTGTGGCCGAGCTTGTGAGTACAGGATTTGGGGCCAAGATAACTGTGTCAGGCTCCAAACAGCCTTCCATGACGATGTAGAAATAGTGCTTATGGCAACCAGTGCATCAGTAGAATACCATAGGTTGGGGACGCGTTCTTCAACCTGGACGTACAGTGCCAAACGAGCACAAGATTAATCATATAAAGAACACTGCGAGCCGTCCATACGGCCCCTACCTCTGGCCTCTCCAAAGTTATCGCAGATATGAGAATTCGCACTATGCCCTCGATCAGGCGCAACAAATAAACAAGGTGGACATACATTGACAGAAACACACAGTACGCATCAAAAACGGTACATGAGATGGTAGCTATAGCCATAATCAGACAGGGAACAAGTACCCAGTGATACCCTCTCTAGTGTAGCCAAGCCGGCTGACAGCTCTGTCCCATTCACTTTCGCTCATTGTATAGAAGTGGTCGTTGATGGCGGCGTTGAACGCCCTAAACAAGGCTTGTCCTCCGCATTCAGTATCCGGGTAAACATACCCCGTAATCCCTACGTCGGAGTATCCCAATCGGGTGATAGCCCTGTCCTTCTCAGCAGCGCTGGTGGTATAGAAATGGTCGTTGATCTTAGGGTTGAACATGCGATAAAGGGGCACAGTGTGCAATTCGGGCGTTGGGAAGAGATATCCCGTCACCCCCCTCGGCGACGTATCCAAGATTTGCTACAGCACGAGCGCGTTCGGCTGCGTTGGTGGTGTAGAAATGATCGTTAATCTTGGGATTGAAGGCACGAAGCAGGGGAACTGCGTCAGCACGATCTCCACAGGTGCGCTTTACAATGGTCTAATGTTTGTCGAGGTCAGTAAGAGCTATGTTGAAAGGCTAGGGGTTAACTTACAGGAGTTGCAGCTGCGGAGGCCATTGACGCAAGCGCAACGGCGATGAGGGAGGTGAAGCGCAAAGAGAATGAGAGCTGCATGGCACTATGAAGACTTTGAAGGGCTGGGTGCTGATTTGACTTTCGCGAGCAAAGAGGCATTTATACTTTTCATGAGAGCAAGACACTGCTTTAGAGCCTACACAGTCCCGGTAAAAAATGAAGCGTGAGTAGCGAAGCCATCGGACTCCTGGCATAGCGATGGGCATGATTGGCAGCATGAAAGCCAGAAAAGGCTTCCTCAGATCACAAGTGCTAACCCGCACACCATTTCTGGAGTACCAGAAATTGTTCCGAAGCACTTAAGATACATCACCGACATGGTTGAAAGCTTCAATAAAACGTCTATCATCTCTTCCGGAGATGAATCAAGGTGAAGCCATCACTGTTTGCCAAGGTGAAAATATACAATTCAGTGAGTGTATTGACAGCTCAGCTGGGAACGCCACACATGGTTAAATCCAAGCCTCTGACCTCTTTGCCTCAGTTTGCATTCTCGCTACCTCAACGTGCTCCTGTGAGAGGCAATTCGAGCCTCTACATTTGAAAGATCCCTACATCTCCAGTGACAGAGGGAATGGATAGAGAATCCAAGAAGTACCCGGTAATTGGTATTGATCAGCAAACGCAACCTGAGTCTGGTCGTTCGCCGTCGGCACAGGCTTTGCTGATCACATGCATCACCAAAAGGCGGGAAACATTTTCGTGCATTTTGGCACAATGTGAGCTTCTCGCCGCATTGTCATACGAGCGTATCATTGGAAGGCTGCACTGCGGATCAAAATGCGGAGCC